GCTCTAAGGTCTCCCTGGAGCTTCTCTTCTCCAGGCTGGACATTCCCAGCTCTCCCAGCCTGGCTCCATGGCATAGAGGCTCCACAATCCTGGAATGATTTGGGTTGGGCTCTGGCATTTGGATGTTCTCCCCTCATCCAGCCTCCTCCAGATCTCTCAGTTGAGGTTCCACATTGCTCATCCAGCCTCTTCCAGATCTCTCAGTTGAGGTTCCACATGATATATTGAGTGTGATGGGATCTATCTGAGCTGTAGTCACTCATTCCTTGGGATCTAGGTTGGAATTTTCCTCCTCCTTTCTGCCTTAGGTGCTGAAAATGGTTTCAACATTCCCATGGTGACTCTGTGCCCTGAAGTTGCCAAATATTTGGAAATGCCTCTGGCTGTGCTGGCCCTGGAGCAGCCTCGGGACATGGAGGGGGTGGCCAAACGTCTCTTCTGTGATGCCTACATGTACCTCTACCAGAGCAGGAAAATGGCTCTCTACAAGTGACAATTCCCTGGAGCAGCATCGGGAACAGGAGTTTGGATCATCCTTAGAGGGAAAAAACAGCCAAGTTGGGATGTTTCCCTTCCCTCCTTTCTCCAACTCCATCCTACCTCAGGTTTCTCCTCAACCTTCTCTCCCTCCTCGCTAAGGACCAAACTCTAAGCAAGACACCAGCAGTGATCCCAAAGTTTTTGAGGAGCATTTGGAAACCACATCCTCCTGCCTAAAAACTTTATCCCCTGGAATTGGGGTGTGAGGAAAATCAAGTAGGATCTGGTGTATCTGAGATGGGTTTTCCTTCAGGTGATCCCACACTGTCCCCCTCATTTCTCTGCACTTCCCTTCTGCAGCACTTAACTCTAGCACTTTTCCCATCATTCCAAATTTCCAGCCCTGGATGTGTTGAGCTGAAAATATGTTATAAACATAGAGATCTTTGGGAAGAAGAAAAAAACTGGAAGAAGGATGAGGCAGACCAGCAACCTCTGAGCTCCTCCTGTTTCTCCTTCCTGGGAAAATTCTGCACATGCTTTGGTGGTTTCCACCTCACTTTTAGCACTTTCTGTCCCATCTTTCCATGCACTTCCAAGGTCTGTGCCAAATACCAGAATTCCAAAGGTAAAAATGGGATGAACTTAAGCACTCTTGGATTTTCTGCCCTGACTGGAGGAAGGTTTAGGGTTGGGGTGGGAATTGGTATTCCTTAAGTTAAATAAAGGTGGAAACTGGAGGATGACTGGAACTGGGACATGCAGTATTCCACAGGTGGGACACATCTTGGAATTCCAGATGTGCAGCTTTAACCCTTTTTCCTGGAATGTAGCAATTCCAACACAGCCTGGAACTTTGGATTTGTCCTGTTGGCTTGGGCCATGTGATTTAGGATCTTTTGTTGGCATTCCAAGTGTTCCTGGAAGGTTCAGGAAGGGATTGTTCCCCACTGATAGGTCCCACTTGGAGTACTGGGACCAGTTTGGATCTTCCTAGGCCATGAGGGATGAAGAAATTCCAAGCAAGAGCCATGAAGATGGTGAAGGAGCTGGAGCATCTATGAGGAGAGGTTGAGATCACTGGGATGGTTGAACTTGGAGAAGGTTCAATGTCTGCCTGAAGAGAAGGTGCAGAGAAGACAACCAGGAGCTTCTTGGCCTGGTCTCTTTTTGGTTCCCTTGGAATACTGGGAATCACATCCTCCCCAGGAGGGTGAGGAGCACTGGAATAGGTCACTGTCCTTGTCCACTCAATATTGGTCTTCAGTTTTCCTCTGCCAAAAGCTCAGAACAGCCTCAGCTCAGGTCCAATGGATTATTCGACCTTTGGTGCTTCTGCTCTACTAACATAGAGCAAACTGATCCTGGTATTCCTGGGGGTCTTTTCCTCCTAAAATGGGATCCAGTGGCCATAGTTGGATGGAGCTTGAGCCTGGTGGGATTGGCCACACTTCCTTAAGCTTCTTGCTTCCCTATCCATCTGCTCCAAAGGCCAAACCACTCCCTTCCCTTCCCTTCCCCTTCCCTCTCCTTCCCCTTCCCCTTCCTTCATTCCCTTTCCTTCCTTCCAGAATTCCTTCCTTCCTTCCACAATTCGTTCCCGAATTCCTTCCCTGGAAGGAGCTTGAGCCTGGTGGGATTAGCAGGAACAAGAGACCATCAGGCCACACTTCCTTAAGCTTCTTGCTTCCCTATCCATGTGCTCCAGTGGCCAAACCCTGGGAATATGGACAATAAACCCAAGGGTTGATCCCACTTGTTGGGAATCTCCCTCTTGATGGATCTCCAAAGGGTTTTCCACTGGAATTTTGGGGGATCAGATGCCACGTGGCATGTCTTGGGCGACTTCTCCTGGCTCAGCACTTTGCCATTCCCACTCGATCTATCCCAAAATCCTGAAGCATGTGGCATCCACCATCCAAGCTGAGGGTGGTGAGTGTCTGGAAGGATCAGGACACACATGGAATGGCCAGGAAAAGGTGGGAAAAGACCTTTATTTAGTGTGTGGCTTAGTAGGAAGCTCATGGTGGAGCTTAGCCCACCATTCCTGGCTGGACATGGGTTAGAGAGTGCAAGTGCCAACTTGGAATCTTCATCCACCTGGAGTTGGCCTCAGCCTGGATCCAGGATCAACCTGGAACCAACCTCCACCCCCAGGGAATGCAGCCGGAACAGGAAGGGATGGGATGGAAGAGGCAAGGCAAAGAGTGTCTGCCAGGGATGTCCCACAGGACATCCCAGGTCACCCCAGTGGTGGTAGGACCTTCCCTGGGGCACTCAAAATGTGGTTCTAGAGGTGCTGAGGAGCATCAGCATGGGAGGCCACCAGAGAGGGCACAGGGTAGGGCCACCAAGGCAGGCCAGAAGGCACAGGGGTGGTAGGGCCACCATGATGGCACAGTAGAAGGCACAGAGCTGGTAGGACCACCATGATGACATGGCAGAAGGGACAAGGCTAATAGGACCACCATGGTGACACAGTAGAAGGCACAGGGCTGGTAGGACCACCATGGTGACACAGTTGAAGGCACAGAGCTATCAGGGCCACCAAGAGAAGCCAAAAGGCACAAGGGTGGTAGGACCACCATGATGACAAGGCAGAAGGGATAAGGTTGGCAGGGCCACCAAGCCAGAAGAGACAAGGCTAGTAGGACCACCATGATGACACAGTAGAAGGCACAGAGCTGGTAGGACCACCATGATGGCCCAGCAAAGGGCACAGAGTTGGTAGGACCACCATGATGGCTCAGCAGAGGGCACAGAGCTGGTAGGACCACCATGATGGCCCAGCAAAGGGCACAGAGCTGGTAGGACCACCATGATGGCTCAGCAGAGGGCACAGAGCTGGTAGGACCACCATGATGGCTCAGCAGAGGGCACAGAGCTGGTAGGACCACCATGATGGCTCAGCAGAGGGCACAGAGCTGGTAGGACCACCATGATGGCTCAGCAGAGGGCACAGAGCTGGTAGGACCACCATGATGGCCCAGCAAAGGGCACAGAGTTGGTAGGACCACCATGATGGCTCAGCAGAGGGCACAGAGCTGGTAGGACCACCATGATGGCCCAGCAAAGGGCACAGAGTTGGTAGGACCACCATGATGGCTCAGCAAAGGGCACAGAGCTGGTAGGACCACCAAGGCCAGGAATGCAGGAGAGGACTTTCCCTTCAGAAGATGCAGGTACAGCTGTCTCCCACCTCTCCCATCCCTCCATCCCAGTTTTCCTGTTGGAACCCCATGGTCCTCTTCCAGTTCCTGCAGGTTCCTCAGATTAGCAGCAGAGACATCTAGGTTAGATCCATGAATTCCCAAGGAGTCACTTGGTCTTCAGATGAGCTTGGAGGAGGAGCTGGTGCAGGGCAGGAGCTGTGCCCAGGGTGGGGACAACCAGGGACCTCCTCACTGGCTGCCCTGACTCAGCTCCACGAAGAGCTGGTGCAGCTTTTCCGTCACGGCCACCTGTGACAGGAGCAAGGAAGGACAGTGAGCAGCTCCATGGTGGAGCCACTCAGGCCACCAAGTCCAGGTGGCATTCCCAGGTGGGTCCTGATGGCCATACCGGGTAGGGCTGTGGCTCACGGAGCCGGCGATGGGCAGGGCTGAGCAGGTTGAGGGACACCTGGGCATGGGTCCTCACCTCTGGTAGACTGGGCAATGGTTCACACACCTGTAGGGATGGAGATCCATGCCCATGTCCATATGGGAGGCCATCACCCAACCCCAATCCCAGGGTGGATTGCAAAGCCACAGGGAACATCTCAGAAGCTACCACCACCCTGGTTTGGTGTCTACATGGATGAGGACACCCCCAGAAGATAGGGCCACCCCTGACCTGGCCATCTCTGAAGTAGGTGCGATGGAGAAGCTCCACAGTGTTGGGAACAACTTTGCAGGTCTCACCAAGCTTCCCCAGGACATGGACCACCAACTCCTGCCCTGCACTGGGTGAAGGCTCCTCCTCCAGGGCCATGAGGTCCATGAAGGGGTGACCTGCAGGTGTAAGGGACATCAAGGAGAAGGTTATGGAGAAGGAGAGGATGAGCCCAGAGCTGTGGGAAGGATCTCCCAACTCACCAGCAGCATCATAGAGGCGATAGATCATCTTTGTCCCTGGGATTGTCATCTTCTCCTCATCTTCTGTGAGCTTCAGGCATGGAGAGCCGTTGACCTCCACCAGCTGTAGGAGAGGGAGGGTAAGGGATGGACATCTGTGTCCTCTGTGGTGAGACCATTGATGCAAACCAGATGGAACCACCCCAAAGTTGGACATTCTGTCTCCTCCTGCCTCTGGAGGAGAACTTGGGGACACTGGTGGGCAAAGAGTGGTCCATGACCCAACGCTCACAGCCCAGAAATGTGTGCTGGGCAGGAGGTGAGGGAGGGATTGTCCTCTCTGTCCTGCTCAGGTGAGACCTCAGTGCTGCTCCAGCTCTGGGATCCAACAGCAGGAGGGTGAGGAGCTGCTGGAGAGAGGCCAGAGGAGGTCATGGAGATGCTCCAAGGGCTGGAAAACTTATGGATCCAATCTGGGAGAGCTGGGAATGTCCAGTCTGGAGGAGACAAGCTCCAGGAAGACCTTAGAGCTCCTTCCAGGGCCTAAAGGAGCAACAGGAGAGCTGCAGAGGGACTTGGGACAAGGGATGGAGGGACAGGACACAGGGAATGGCTTCACCCTGGAAAAGTAGAAATTTGGATGGGATATTGGGCAGGAATTCTTGGCTGTGAGGGTGGTGAGGGGCTGGGATGGAATTCCCAGAGCAGCTGTGGCTGCTCCATCCCTGGGAGTGTTCCAGGCCAGGTTGGATGGGGCTTGGAGCCACCTGGGCTGGTGGGAGGTGTCCCTGCCCATGGAATTGGGGTGGAATGAGATGACCTTTCTAGCCCATTCCAATCCAAACCATTCCATGTTGGCCTCACAGCCTCATCCCTCAGGGCTGGATCTCCTGGCTCTGTGAATCTCAGGAGAAGCCAAGGAATTCTGAGTCCCTCAAGCCAAGCAGAGACCTGGAGCCACCTCTACCTTGTAGACACAGCCCAGGGATGGCTGCAGGGGACACGTCACCAGATTTGTCCCAACGCCGATCATGTTGATCTCACTCCCCTGGGGCAGCAGAGAAGACAGAGGACATCAACAGCACAGAGCAGGTGACATCAAAGGTGACATCCAGCCCTGCCAGCACCAGCCCAGGTGACATCCCAGGTGACATTCTACCCCTGACAGCACCAGCACCAGTTGACAGCCCAGGTGACATCCCAGACCTGGTGACATCCCAGCTCTGATAGCACCAGCGACATCCCAAGTGACATCCCAGCCCTGAATACACCAGCCCTGGTGACATCCTACTCCTGACAGCACCAGCACCAGTTGACAGCCCAGGTGACATCCCAGCCCTGACAGCATCAGCCCAGGTGATATCTCAGGTGACATCCCAGCTCTGATAGTACCAGGGACAGCCCAAGTAACATCCCTGGTGACATCCTACCCCTGACAGCACCAGCACCAGGGACATTCCAGGTGACATCCCAGCTCTAGTAACACCAGGGACAGCCCAGGTGACATCCCTGGTGACATCCCAGCCCTGGCAGCACCAGGCCAGGTGACATCTCAGGTGACATCCCAGACCTGACAGCACCAAAGACATCCCAGGTGTCACTCCAGATCTGCCAGCACTAGGGACAGCCCAGATGACATTCCTGGTGACATCCCACCATTGCCAGCACCATTCCCGGTGACATCCCAGCCGAGGTGACATCCCAGCCTAGGTGCCATCCCACACCTACCAGCACGAGGGATATCCCAGGTGGCATCCCAGCCCTGTGAGCACCACCCCAGGTGACATCCCAGCCCTACCAGCACCATCCCTGGTGACACCCATCCCTGGTGACATCCAGCCAATGTGACATCCCATCCCTGGTGCCATCCCAGCTCTGCCAGCATCACCCCGGGTAACACCCAGCCCTGGTGACATCCCATCCCTGGTGCCATCCCAGCTCTGCCAGCATCACCCCAGGTAACACCCAGCCCTGGTGCCATCCCAGCCCTGGTGACATCCCAGCCCTGGTGACATCCATCCTTGCTGACACCCATGCCAGGGGACAGCCATCCCAGGGGACATCCCAGACCTGCCAGCACCATCCCAAGTGACACCCACCCCAGGTGACACCCAGCCCAAGTGACACCATCCCTGCCAGCAGGTACCTCCCTGCTGAGCTCCTCCAGGCTCTCCTCGCTGATGTCATTGCTGACAGCGATGGGAATGTTCCCAAACCAGGGCACCTGGAAGCTGGAAAGGGCAGGATTTGGGATTGATCCATGACTCCCACCCTGGCAGGATTTGGGATTGATCAATGACTCCCACCCTGGCAGGATTTGGGATTGATCCACGACTCCCACCCTGGCAGGATTTGGGATTGATCCATGACTCCCACCCTGGCACGATGAGGAGCTGGATGCAGGGGAGGACACCAGGGCCTGGTGCCACCCAGCCCAGGCATGGTGGGACACTCACCGAGCTCCACAGGCTCGGAACGCTCCGCGGATCTCCTTGGCCTGCTGGGCCAGGTCTCCACTGTCCAGTCGGACCCCGATGGCCTGGTAGCCCAGTTGGTGCAGTGCCAGTGCCACAGCACAGAAATTGGGCAAACCACTCCTGGAACGGGCAAGGAAGGAGTGAGGGACACGTGGGACGTGGAGCCAGGGTGGAGCCAATCGTGTCCCAAGTCCTGTGGTGGCCAATATTCCTATCAGCACCAGCCCAGGGGACATCCCAACCCTGGTGGCCTCCCCGGTGACATCCCACCCCTGCCAGTACCAGCTCAGGTGACATCCCAACCCTGGTGACATCCCCAGTGACATTCCAGCCCTGCCAGTACCAGCTCAGGTGAAATCCCAGTCCTGGTGACATCCCCGGTGACATCCCAGCCCTGCCAGTACCAGCTCAGGTGACATCCCAGCCCTGGTGACATCCCACCCCTGCCAGCACCAGCACCAACCCAAGTGACATCCCAGCCCAGGTGACATTCCAGGTGACATCCCAGCCCTGACAGCACCAGGGACGGCCCAGGTGACATCCCAACCCAGGTGACATCCCAGCCCTGACAGCACCAGCCCAGGTGACATCCCCCCCAGGAGGTGCCAGTGTGTGGTGCTGGTGAAGCTCCTCTGCTGGTGGTGGTGTCCTCACCTCCGGACGCAGTAGGTGTCCAGCAGCCCCTGGAAGTGGCAGGGGAAGGTGATGGCATAGGCCACGAAGGCGCCGAGCTCGCCACGGTTGGTTGTCCCACTGGGAATCTCCAGCAGCTCACACACCTCCTGCAGCCACACCATGGCCAGGGCCACCAGGTCCACAGGTTCTCCTCCAGCTTGGGGGAGCAGCTCCTGCCCAGGACACATGGGATTGGCACATCCCATGGAGTAGGGAGTGTGGGAATGGGTAGAGCATCCCAGACCTGTCCATGCCTAGCATGGTCCCTCCTCATC